CTTTAGAGTCGCCCAATAGCAGACTTTCTTTTCACAACGAGTTCTTTCAGATGGTTAGGATTTCGACTGGTAAACTTTCCAGAATCATACTAGACACCATCGAAAAGACTGATAGTTACCTTTTAAGTTACCATCCGTCATGGAAACTTCCACCTTTTCAAATAAACTACAGTGGCTGGTTGTAAATATCAGGCCTAACTTTGGTGTGCGCCTAAAATCCATCCCTCGATAAAGTTAAAAAATCTTGTTGAATGGTTAAAGATGAATAGCAATTAAACGTGGAATGTGCAGGGCTTTGAGAATGAAACTAAATTTGTCAGAGAAATGAGCCTAATCCAACCTTTGCTTTTGATGACTAGAGAAATGTCTGGAATAAATGCATTACATTTTTACAGTATGTGGGGCTATCAACGAAGGTACAATAGCTTGTTTGCAAAATAAGATCCAACAAATACCCTCAAAACGCATTGCAAAAATATATATCTGTCAGTCACTAGGCGCATATCGTGGTTCCTTACACATACATATATAAAGTGAATCATTCTTTTAGATTTCCTTTAAAGTAAAAGATGATTCAGTTCTATCTCACTGGTTTAGGTATCGTATTTTCAGAAGTTAGACTAAAGACCAGAATCTGATTTGGGTATCTAAGTGACGTCATATGTTATGTATAAACTGTAAACTAGTTAATGAACTAGCACTACGTTACTGAGTTGGATTTTGTTATATTTACATGATATATGACCAACCGAAATGCAAATTTAAGTCATTCAGGTAAAATTTATTCATCAGTTTGCGTGACACTGCATTGGACCAGAATGAAACGTATGACAATGAATGATGCAGATTGCAAAATCCTCCACATTCTGCACAGAACATGGGATATATAGTTACCTAGTGGAGCTATTGATTATTTCTTATATGTACATTTATTCCTTTGAATAAACTGGTGCTTAGTACGCTAGTGAGAGAAAGGTTGTTATAGAGACCAATAGATGTACATGTTCACCAAAATCACCGTCACTCTACAGAAAAAGTAACTTACATTCAACTGTTTCTCAGTTTCTTCATGACAGACGTACTGACTAGATAATCTAGTATTGTTACGAATAGTAGGGTTAGTATTCTCAGTCTGTGGTGATTTTATTTGGCCTTCAGAATCGGATAATTCATCAATAGGAGCACATAATAATGGAAAATTGGATGGTTTTAAATGCATTGGATCAGTAATGTGGTTAGCTGAATTCATGATTAATATGTTATTGTTATCATTAGAAATAGAGAATTTTTGTTCAAAACGAAAATCTTTATTATTGCTGACACTGTTGTTGTTGATACTACTATAAGCAGCTTTACAAGTTTGTGAATGTCGTTTCAAGGTACCATTTTGTGAAAACGCTTTACCGCAATGTTTACATATGTATGGTCGTTCACCTAAACAAAAAAGAAATAGGAAATAAAAATAGCGATGATCAATTAGTGTATATAAAAGTATAGTAGATGTGTCAAAAATAGTAACAAACAAATAAATATAGTCGGTTTTTAGGTACTGGGAGTTTGTCAGTGGGAAGCATCTGTATTCGCTTCTTATGCGTGCCGGTATTCATCAGCAAGAGGTATTTATAGTCGTGAGGCATTCCATTTTACGGTCGTGGTTCGAACCCGCATCACTGAAGTAAGAAACTGGGAACTTCATCCATTCGGGATTACAGTAACGTAGTAGCCAACAAAATCTCTACAGAGCATACTGTGCAAGTCAAAGAAAGGCAGAAAAAACACCCTCGTGAACAGTGCTCAGCTTGGTCGCTGAAAGGTGAGCATAAAACCATCTTCAACTCCATCGTTGAACACTTCGTAGACCTTGCATATCTAGCTACCCTGGAAACCTTGTTTGAAGTTCTCTACAAATTCCTACTAAACCGTTCCAAAGGAATTAGTGTCAGACACTTATGTGCAGCCGAAGCTTTGGTGATTCACAGCTTCTAGCCCGAATTATGCTTTTAAAAGAAACGTTTACAAACGCCATTTTAGCCTTAAATAGACACTCTGCACCTCTATGTTTGTGTTTTGCATTTTATTTATTCACTCCTACCAGATACCAAATCTTACTGCTCAATACATTTTATAAAAAAATTTTGATATCACTCTTTGTGTTACCCAGTATCACTTCATTCCTTCCTAAATATATCGATTACCTTTTGTCGTTAGTCAGAACTAAGTGTGGAACATTCTATCATTTTACTTATATATTTATGAATGTACATATATGAAAATGAGTCGGCGAAAAGATAATTATCATCTCGTCTGTAACCTCCTCGTCCGTCACTTAATCGGGATTTCTTGTGAATAAATATTTCACTAAATAATTTCAGACAATGAACTTAATTGTTCGCACATGAAGTTGGTAACTGGTACCTAGCATTAGTTACAACATTGACCACAAGAGTATACAAAATTCTCCGTCCTAACATTATGGTTCACTTTAGGCGAACTTCAAAATCATATGGACAGTCGTGGATATGAGAAGTGAAGGCGTATCTACTTTCCTGTTAATACACTTTCTACTCAAACAGTATTAGAAATCATCCCAAAATGAGGTGTACAAACGACTCTGAGGCACTACAGCTTATTGGTGGTGTGATCTGTTGAGACAGGGTGTTTCGAATGATGATACTGTTCTGTATATTTGTTGTGTTTACCTAAGCATACTGGTGTAAAAAAATAAGTCGAATGATGTGAGAAACCACAACATATACTGACAGATAGACAAATATCAAAACCACTCAACCATAACTCATGTAATAAGAAGCAGACTTAAACCGGTAGTTTATTACGTCATGAAGAAGCATGGAAAAAAACACATACTTTTTATTCTTATACGAAAGTAAACCTCTGTTTTCGTCACTGTTAAACGAAGATATAAAAAGTAGAACACTTTGTGAAAATGGGAATAACAAAGTTGTACCATCTGTCAACCACATGACTTGATCAGATCAAACAAAGATATTCGGTCTAACTGTTAAATGACGGCATTTTATGTACATAAAGCATGCAGAGACAAAAAACATACAATGAGGATTACAGTTATTTTTTCCTTATTTCGTCGATTTTATTCAACTTATAGTCATTGTAAAAATAGATATCATTATAAGATTCCCAATATGAACAATTTTATAGTGACTAGGTTTCTTAGTTCATTCCCTCTGAGATTACCTAGGTAGGTACTTTGGTAATTTGTTCCTTTTTGACATTATATTACGTGTTTAATGTCCCATGACAATAGTTAACCTTCTTGCTTTATAGGGTTTCGGAGTAAATCACGTGATTTTACATCTTCATATGTAATCCATCTACAACTCAGGATTAAAGAATGTAATGAGGGCGGACAACAATGTTGGTCAACTTGGACAGTCGCTTACATGGGATTCAAAACGCAATCTTAGCTTACAGTCTCTAGTGCTTACCTAGCAGCTAGGCAAGCCTAACTGTTAATAACCTGAGCATATAATAAAATAGTCTGGCTAAAATTGTTCATAGTGTTAATTCTTTATTTTCAGAAATGTAAATGGACAATCAAATTTACTGCTGATTTCTTGTGATGAAGAATTGTTTTTGAACACATATAGGTGGCTTGGATCTTCCAATAGCTTACGCCTCAACTAACTTTAAAATACTTCTTCAACAAGTCTTAGAGATGGGCTTACATGAGGTTTGTAGATCCATTTTATGCCCCGTTTCAGTAACATGTTTAAGTACTAAAGAACTCGGACGTTTGTTTCCAGCATCAGTTGGGTCAGGGACCTCTATTTGTTTCTGAAGCCACTTCGGAATATGTCCTATGGCCTTTACTACTGACTACCGTTATGCATGATGATCGCTAGGGTTACTAATCAATATAAATCCTGTGTGCTTGAATCACCACTCCTTGGCTTTGCATTTGGAGAATTCATTAGATGAGCGCTAATCAAATTTTGAAGATTAGGACTTTAGTTGTAATTCTCTTCACATTATCTTGCATAATATTATTTCCATCAACTCGACTTTAAAAAACAATTTGCTTCTCGTTCGTAATTGGGTGTCCATTATTTGTAACATGAAGAACATTTGTTGCTTACTTCATGCCAGTTTCACTATGTACCATATTTCCTTCTCTTTCATGTGTAAAATAATACATGGTACTATGAAAATTCCAACTAGTTAACACCTGTATATATAAGATATATATATGAGATAATGGACTCATTCAATGCCAGACCAGTATAAGTGGTGTCTGGTCATTCAAACATAAGTAAATGAGGCGGCATCCAGACCTTCGAATAACTAGCTATAAGTCGGTCGCCTAAGAGAATTAATTACCCATAACTTCACAAAAATGGATAAAATTTGCTGATGTTATTGATAAATATGGTGAACCACTGTCATAGCCATTTACACCCTGTATAAAGTAGATGTAATTTCAATATATATATATATATATATATATATATATATATATATATATATATATATATATATATATATATACGGTACCTAAATAATACAAACAAATAAATTTAAACAAAGTAAATTTCTACCATATCTATCAGATTTCAGGTAGTTTATTTTGCTTCAGAAAGAAAGCTAAAAATTATATGATAAGATTCATCTGTTATTTAATAATAACAATAATACGTTGAACACATGAAATCCATTTGCCAGTACTGCTATTAATAATATTAATTCAGTATTAAATGGAAAGTGATCAGGCTGTCTATATTTCCCTTTCATACTAAACACTGGGACTAATTACTAGTCAACAGTACTACCAGTAAAGACAGAATTAGGTAATATATGACAAATAAATTAATTGAATGACACACAACATCATAATCCTGTCTTAAATAATGAGTGTAAACCACATGTGAAATTCGATATACATATAAATGTAAATCTGTAAGCAAAGAATTTAAAAGGGGAAGTTGGCGCCATGCTTATAATTCATTGAAGGATTAAACAATGTCGAAAAATAGAAATTTAAAACAAAAGTAGAAAGCGACAATATCAGGGAACTCGACACAGATACACTTGCTAATTGTTAAAAAGATTGGTATTTGTACCTTTAAAAGATTAAATATCAACATCGGGTTGAAGTTCATAGGACAAATGCAATTGAGTGTCATAAACGTAGCGTATAAGTTAACGAATAAGCACTATTTAGCTGTAATGATCAGATAATCGTTGAAAATCAACTTTTCAGCAATCCAGGGATCATTTAATCATGTCAGTACGAATTCTTATGAGTTCAGTGAGTAGTAGATTATCATTAATCTTTCAAAATTCTCACATATAACTCAAAACACCAAAGACAGATGTTGCTTCTATATTACAGTGGGAGTGTGTTTCAGCTAATCGGCAATTCAAGGTCCTATGTATAATCCTAGAGGAGTAGTGAGTGCAGAAATTCATTTAGTTTAGACAGATAACACTGATTTCCAAGTGAATGACGGACAAAAACTACAGGTCCTGGGGAAGAGTAGAACATATGAACTTTAAATGGTAATTGGCTACGTAGCAGAAGTATTATTATCGTCCTATTGGTTAAATTCTAATATTCGAAGCTTATGAATCAGACACACTAACAAAAAAATGTTTAACCTACAGTTTTCGGTGTATTAAGATTCAATTCAAATCATTATGATGTGGAATGTTCCATGATTTTGATGGTTTCCTTATAGAAAGCGATACTAGACAGTCAGCTGCTCTTCGTATCTTTATGACACAGGTAGAGGTGCTTCATGTATCTTTGCTCACCTCTTCATCTCGTTGCTCTAGATTGGCCCCCTGGATTAATTTTGTTTTTTATCATCCATATAGCATTATTATCACTATCTAAATGTTCATGGATTTCTTTACTACTTTTATTATTTCCACCCTCTAGTTCATTATCAATAAAGTATGCCGGCTAGAACTGATGCAAAAATTGTGTTCGGTTGTTCTGTGTTTTGACTATTGCTTCACTTCTAACATACTTTCAACACTAGAAAATATCCTAGGTAACCGTTTGGTTTTGTCATAAACACTAGTGTAACCTGAAGCAGCATTTTTGAATTAATCCCCTTGTACAAGAGCAGATTTCATTAGTTCATGACATGTTTGTGTTAGGGATCATACTTTGTGACCTTGACTGAGCTGTGAGAAATAGCATGTACAGTTTAACCTGGAAACAGTTTTGAGAATGATTCTCTGATTTAAAAACTCCAACCCATAGGATAAAATGTGGTCGTTTGGATCCATAGTATAAGTTCGACTTTCATAATGGTTTACTCATTTTGAATCTGAGCGAAAACTCTAGATAGTTGCTAGATCAAAATGAAGAAACGTTTGATAGAGTTCATGCAGTTTAACGATGGTGAACTTCTTTACGCACATTCAAAGAAAAGTCCTTCACTCAGCAG